GCTGTCCTCTGTGAAAGTGCCCTGCCTGCGGCTCCCCCATGTTGGCTCGCTGTGTGTTAAACGTTATCACTCGGAGATTTAAGTTGAACGGTATAGCCTTCGTGGCTGTCACGATGGGTGATGCAGTCGGCTGAAGTATGGCTTGCTGTCGTATTGCCTGATATGCGAAGCCATGCTCCGTGAACTTGGGGTAGGCCGCACTGTCCATGTCCTCTCTGTCTCTCAACATAGCCCAGCCCCAGTTCAATGCAGGTTTGAGCTGTCCCACCAGTTGCTGTGGAAGAGGTGGAGGTGGATGATCCTTCGCATGCTTCGCAACTACGTCCGACATCTCGTTCCAGGGGTGCCCGTCATGACCAGCTGTGTGAGACAAGGTGATCCTCCTGGTACGTCGGGCAGCGTCAAGGGCGTGGCTCCCAAGTCGAGAGAAGGGCTCTTCCTGGGCCACCCCTGACGAAACGCGCCACATCGCGGGCTGGCAGTCACATACCACCTCCACCTCGATGTGCGCCTCGAGCTGCAAGGCATATAGTAGCGCCCACAAAATGCCTGCCGTCTCGGTGGTCACACTGTTGATCTGATGGTCGGACAGCTCCGCGTTGATGCTGTCCACCACGTAGGCGCTGAAGTAGCCCAGGAACTTGAAACAATCGCCGTCCGTTGCCAGCAATGTGCAAGCCCAAGCTGAACTCGTAGGCTCGCTGTCGTGATAGGAGCCGTCGCAGAAGATGAAGACCTTGCACACTGCATTCTCCAATCTCTGCGAAAGGGACATGGCCAGCATGCTATGCTCGTGGAGCGACATGCCAGCAAGATTCCGCTGCAACTGAATGTGCCATCGAAGCCGTTGAAACACCAAGTGTAGTGGCTCGGGCGTCTCCAGCGAGCAAAATCGTCCATAGCAATTATACTGAGGTGAAACCTGGGCGCCAAGGTGCCCGAGCCTTTCGTCGGCTCTCGGAGTGTCTTCAATGAGCTGTACGTCATGATTGCCGCAAACCACTGGAGCATCTCCGCTTCCCAACCTTTGCTGAGGTATGCGTGCGGACGAGTCCGCAAAGTCACTTAGAAATCGAGCATCTACTCTGACGGCAGTCCCCAGCCCACTCAGTCCAAGACTGGGAACCCGTAAAGCGTGGGCCATAGTCTCCGCTGAGGTCCCAGCCCCCGACGCTGGCTGAGACCCTTCCCACGCGCTCAAGGGCGCTGGGACGCGCCTGGCTCATCTCCGCGGTGTCCAGGAGGAACGTCCGCGGGTTGCTGATGACGTGAATCAAGAGGTACGCGAGAACGCTGTATGTCGTCAGCTCCCGTATGCTCGATAGCCTGGCTTGACGACCATTCACCACTCGTAGTAGCGACCCCACCTCTCGTCTTCTCATCACGTGCGCGACTATCTTCAGTAAGAGGCGGAACACGCGGGTACAAAAATTGTCTCCCATACTTCCGAGCTGGCCTTTTGTGCACCGTGCTCCTGTCCGTGTCCTCTTCTCCTGAACGAAATGCATGCTGCGCCACGTCGGAAGGTACCTCATCGTCATCATCTGCAACATCACGACGTTCACAGTCGTGATGATCATCTCCGTGGACAACCTCTTCTGCAAGTTGCTGTACAACCTCGAGTCCGTACTTGACTAACTCCTCCTGGTATCGTTCCTCTTGTTCTTCTCTGGCTACCTTCCTGTCATGCATCAGCAGGCAGATTTCCTCCTCTTGAATGGCCTCAAGCTCAGATGCTACTTCACGATCGTACCTTTGGGCTGCGTCAATGATATCTTCTACCGAAACTGCATCTGCGGAGTCCATCGTGGTGGAGTACCCATTTGGAGGCACGTCGTGAGAAACTTCAGCTGATAGATCAGGTACCGCCGTCGGTGAAGAGTGTACAGAGTCAACTTGAACTTCCTGTCGATGTTCAGTTCGTTGCTGTGCCTCACGTTGCTCTGCCTCCTTGTATTCTGCATTTCGAATCGCTGATACACGTACCTCTTCAAATGCATAGACCTGCCGTTCTGCACGTAGCCATTCTTGAAAATCAGCTTCATCCTGCAGTCTAGCAGCGTCCTCGTCGGCAAGCGCAGCATCCACTGCCCGAGTCATAGTAGAAGGTGGTGAGGAGTAGAGTGAGGAGCATATTGGAGAGCCCGCCATGTACCTCTGGCACTCGTAGTCAATGTACATCTCGCTGTCGCGCTCAGCCTGCTTCTTTTGCTCGACCAGTTCGGCTTCAAACTTCTCCGTCTCATTCTCTACACTGCTGCCAAACTGAACTCTAGATACTCCCGTCTTACCGTATGGATTCGTTCGGTTCGATCGCGGGGTCATAAATCCTTTTCCTTTTTGAGTACGAAGCCGTCCAATTTCACCTTCATAATGCTGCGTGCGAGCTTCTGCTGATCGGATTGCCTCAACGAGCTGCTGTTGTCGTTCTTCATCGTGCTGACGCTGCTCCGCTAATTCAAGCCACGCCTTCTGGCACCGCTCGTCGTTCTCAGCCTTCATCTCCTGAACCTCCTTGAGCTCACAAGCCACTCTTGCCAGCTGGCTGCGCTTCCATTGCTCCATGTCCTCGGTATCCTTCCGATGCTTGGCTTTGTCCATCTCCATGAACGCCTGGCGCTGCTCGTCAACCTCCTCTGACCGACGCTGGAGCTGCTGCATGATCATCGTGATCTTGGCCATCTCCTCCTGACCGAAACGCTGCACTTCCATTTCGCGACTTGCCAGTTGCTGCCTCTGATGTACTAATTCCTGTTGTTCTCCACTGTGCTCGCGGCGCCCGCACTCAATCTGGACCTGCAACTGCCGGTTCTGCTGCTGTAACATTAAGTTATGCTGATGCGCTGCTGCCGCTGCCTTCTGCTGTTCCAGCCATTCATTGTGTCTCGCTGCCTTGCATTCACTCTCGTAGACCTTGGCCTGCTCCTTCGTGAGTAATTCTGTCCTTGGAACCGATTTGACTGCCGATGTTGCTGCCACGGAGCTGCTGCTGTCGACCGTCATGTGATTGTCTGCATCCCTGAGGGGTGGCTGCGGCGTCACCTGCGAGAGCGGTATCTGTGGAGCTGCCATCGTCGGCGCCTGTGTAGCTGGGATCTGCATCTGCCCTGGTATTGACATGACCACAGGAGTATCTTGCCGACCTTGTGAAGACTCTTTATGACGCACCTGTCGGCCAACTGGTAGCGGCTGAGGTGTCTGCTGTGAGCTGAGTGAGGGCACCGGTGCCCGTGGCAAGAAAGATGATGTGCCTGTCGAACTCCCTGGCGCACCTCCTGTCGGTATATATGCACTCGTGCCACCGTATGGATCTGTTCTGGCTGGTGAGGCTGAAAGCCGCCGAGCATGGTCCTGAGCTGGATTCTGCACTCCCAACTGCTGTACTGTGCCTTGACCTCTAGAGACTTGCCCCTGCGGCTGTCTCAACGAGGCCTGACAACGCAAGTGTTTGCCGTCCACGATTGGGGTTGGGTCTCGACTCGGAGGAAAAGGCGGCGGTGGCGGCGGAGGTGGTGGTGGTGGGGGTTGCTCTGCGCCGTCTGCTCGAAGATCCTTCTGCAGAGCCACCCTCCTATCGTGACCAATATCAACCTCCGTGCTTGATAATTCTGCTGTGTCTGCCTCTCCTTCAGCTGCTTCTCGAAATAAATCATGATAGTAGTCCAACATCGTCTCCTCATAGAGAGCCTCCTGCTTCAATGCCGATATCTTGCCCTCGATCTTGTGCAGCTTCTCCTCCGTCTTCGTAATATTATCCTTCGCTTCCCGCCGTTGAATAGCACATGGCTTGAGCTGCCACATCATCCACTTCATGACACTCAACTCCTTCTCTTGGGTAATCACACATGTTCCCAGCCGCCGCCCGTGTACAATGACCTCTGCCGTTCTATGCATTCTTTCCTCCAAAGACTTCCGATACTTGGCTGTGTCGGACTTCGGCGGTGGGCTGTAAATGGAGTGATTCATGGCGTACTTGCTCGTGCTCATCATCGTCTCCTCCAGAACTTTAGCAGTCTCATTCTTGAATGTAGCACTATCTCGATCACGTCGACGTTGATCCGCCTGTTTCTGCATTTGCTTCCTCCACGTGTTGTTGCAGCTCTTCTTCACGCATTGCCATGAAGCTGGTTCGTTGCTCTGGCCGCAATCGATACACGTCCATTTGCCTGGCTTCGCCATGCTGGAGTGGTGCGCCGCCAGAACCTTCTGCGCCTTCGTGACTCTGAGAAGAATCCTCGCCTGGGCTCGCTGTCGACGGCGACGGCGATGTGCAGCGCCCTCAGGGCGTTTGGCCGTCTGGCCTGCTCCTCCTGGCGGGCGGCCCACCGCGCGCGACCTCGCGCGCAGTCTGGCCCGCCGCGGGCTGCCGCCAGGGGCTGCCGCCGCTGCAAGGGGTGTGGGGGTGTCCTCCCCCTCGCTGCAGCCCCTATCGCGGCCGCCGCGCTGCCGCCCGCCCACGCGTGGGGCGGCGTCCGCCCCACCCCGAGTGGGCAAACGGCTCCTCCTCCACCTCCTCCTCCTCCTCCTCCTCCTCCTCCTCCTCCTCCTCCTCCTCCTCCTCCTCCTCCTCCTCCTCCTCCTCCTCCTCCTCCTCCTCTCCTCTCCTCCTCCTCCTCCCTCCTCCTCCTCCTCCTCCTTCTCCTCCTCCTCCTCCTCATCCTCCTATTCCTATTATTCTTCCTCCTCCTCCTCCTCCTCCTCCTCCTCCTCCTCCTCCTCCTCCTCCTCCTCGTCCCTCTCGTCCCTCCTCCGCCCCGCCCTCGCCCGCCTCCGCCCCGCCCTTCGCCCCGCCCCTGTCGCTCTTCTCTGTTCCCCTGCCGCTGCCCCTGACCAGGGGTCAGAGGTCGACCCCTCTTGACCTGGCCGGGGGCGCGCTCCTGCATGACTTTTCGAGGCGGACTCAGCCGTGGCCACGGGGCGCCCCAGGACGTCTCCACACGTCCAGAAAAATCCAGCATCTGGCCTTCTATCCTCGAGCCTCGATCGTACCCGCTGCAGGCCTGGACGTGCGGCTGACGTCGCCCGTGGCCCGCCCCTCCAACCGCGCTTCCGGCGGCAGCAGCGCCAGCAACCGCCCGATGCGGGCGTCCGACAGATCCGGCGCCACCTCCCAGGCGGAGAGAGTGCCGCGCTGCTCCGTCCCCTTCCCCCTCCCTGCCCGTGCCCCGTGCCCCCTCCGCACTCGCCTCGTTCCTCTTCGCTTTCCCTCCTCTTTCCTCCCCCTCCCTTGCCTCCCCCTTCTCTCTCATCATCCCAATGAACCATACCACGCCGCGCCCCCCAGACCTGTCGGCAGGGAGGGTCGGGCGCTCCGCCTCAGACATCATCACCACTAATGACCCCGAAGCTTGAACTTGCGACAGCGTTCTCGCCTGGCCCACGTTCTCCCCCGTTACCCCTTCTCGCAATTCCAGCGGTGCTCTCTGGGGGCCCTGGGGGACGCTCGGGCCCCGGGACCGTCGAAATCCACGAACCCTGAAAAGTGCCGAAACAGAGCGACTGCGACGGCGGCGACGACGACGACGACGACGAAGACGACGACGACGACGACGACGACGACGACGACGACGACGACGACGACGACGAGGGCGGGCCGTTTCCGAACGGTGGCTCCCGCCGAGGCGCTGGGCACATTCGTCGTAGAAAAGTTTGAAGCAGCCTCGGGGATGGAGGGCGGGCCGTTTCCAAACCAACGCTCTCGCCGCAGAGACGCGCGCATTCGTCTCAAAGCCTGCAGCGACCTCAAAGGCGTCGTACTGTCGAAGACCCCGGAACGGTGTTCTGGCACGACTTCCTCAGAGTGTACGGGAGCAGCAGTGGTGTAGATTCGCGGTGCCGAAGACCCAGGATTTTTTTTTGGCACGAGTGAGGATCCTCAGACGGTTGTCATCAGATGGGGCGCTTCCCACAATGATCATCAATTGTAGGGACATCTGAAAAGGAAACCTGGAAGGGGGGTGTATTGCAACATCGTTGACGCGTTTTGGGTTTATACAGGTCCCTTCCTTGTCCTCCAGGGAAAGCAAAACACAGATCAGCAACACCACCAACAACAACACCAACACCAACACCAACACCACCAACACCACCACCACAACCAACAACAACAGCAACAACAGCAACAATAATTTTAAGACTGTTCGCCCGTATATGCTCGAGTGTCCAATAACGCGTATTTCCCAAACCCTCGATACCCGCCCTCTTCGTCTTCGATCGAACCCCTTTTGGGGGGTATACCTTTCTTTCCTGCAGGCCTGGCCCCAGCAAGCGGCGGGGCGGCCGCGGACCGTCGGCCTGGCCAGCGGCAGCGCTGATCGGCGGGGCGGCCGCGGACCGTCGACCCGACCCCAAGAGGGACGGACAGGGGACCGACCACGACGACGACGACGACGACGACGACGTCGAAGACGACGGCGACGACGACGACGACGACGACGGCGACGACGAGCGAAAGCGAGAGCGAGAGAGAACGACAGCAGGGCCACGAAGGGCACGAAGTAGGCCACGAAGGGCGACAGCGGGGACACGAAGGGAATGCGTATGGGGCCACGAAGAGCGCGAACGAGCGGGGGCCACGAAGTGCAGATAATGCGGGGCCACAGAAGGCAACTATGGGGCCACTGAGGGTAGCAACTGGGCCACGTAGGACAGTGAGGGGGACACAAATGGCGACAGCGGGGCCATGAAGGGCATGCACATGGGGCCACAACGCGCGCGACTCCTGGGTGCCTGGGTATCGGGAGCGCGGCGCTTTGGCAAATTGCAAGAAATTCCAACGCAAGGCCATTCCTCAGTAAGTTGCACGCAAGTCTCCAGGGAGAGCGCGACTCCAGAGCGCTGGGAGAGCGATTCCTAAATAAATTGCAAGGAAATCCCAAGCGAGAGCGCGATTCCGGAATAAAATGCGAGGAAATCTTGGGCGGGAGCGGGGGTCCTGGCTAAATTGTAAGGAAGTCTCAGGCGGGAGCCGTTGTTGTTGTAACCCGGGGGCCAGGGGCCCAGTTTGAGCAGGAAGACTTTCCTTGTAAAAAACAGGGTGCGAGCGTCGAGGGGCACACTTTGATTGAGAAAAACACTATGCACCGGTCAACAATAAATATTCTTCAGAAATGAGAATTCAACCACAACAACAACAACACCACCACCACCAACAACAACAACAACAACAACAACAACAGCAGCAGCAGCAGCAGCAACAACAACAACAACACCAACAACAACAACAACAACAACACCAGCAGCAACAACAACAACAACGACAACAACAGCAACAGCAGCAACAACACCAATAAGAACAACAACAACAACAACAGCAGCAACAACAACAACAACAACAACAACAACAACACCAACAACAACAACAACAACAACAACAACAACAACAACAATAACACCACCACCACCACCACCACCAACAACAACAACGATAATAATAAGAATACGAATAATAATAACAACAACACCAACAACACAACAACACCACCAACAACCACCACCACCACCACCACCACCACCACCACCAACAACAACAACAACAACAACACACAGCGCGCACACGCCTTACCCCCCTCTGAACCCTGCGGGCAGTGCTACGACGACGGCGGGCGGCTCCCCCGCACCCTGGCGTCTTGGGGGCGGCCCGGTCGTTCGCCTAGCTGGCAGGCTCGTCAGCGTCGCGCCAGCGCGCTGGGCCGCGGACGTGCTGAGCCAAGCCAGGCGGCCCAGCGAGCACGCTGCGCCCCGCGGACGCGCCGCTGGGCTCGACGGCCACGCGGAGCCCCGCGGCTCAGCGTCGCGCCAGCGCGTTCGCGGCGGCCTAGGCTGCCAGAGCGTCGCCTGGGGCCTGCGCGCGGTCCCGCACCAGACAGCGCAGGTGGCGCGTCGCCGCCTGGCCGGCCAGAGGGAAGAGCCTCTCGGGGCAGCGGCGCCGCTGCGGCGCTTGTCCGCTTCCCCCTCAGAGTTCACCGCCGCTGCGTCAGCATCCGCGGCCGCAGTCAAGGCGTGCGCGCTCATGGGGACGCTGTCGTGGACGGTGGCGCACACCAGCATCATTCGGCGGCAAACGCCAGCGCCTTCTCGCGCTCGGCTTCTGGTGGCCCCCCGCAGCCGCTGCGCAGGCTGCCGCGGCACGGCGCCAACGCCGCCGATCCCAAGCCGAGGCCGGGACCTGCCGCGCTGGGCGGCACCCGCTCTCCTGGTGGATGCGGCCCCAGTCGTCTTCGACGCTGCGGCTCCGCACCCCTTGGGGGCCCCGCGGGCGCAGCGCCGGGCACGGCGCGCTTCGCGGCAGGACGGCCGCCCGCAGGGCTGCCCCGCCCGCCCGCCCGCGGGCGGTGGCGGCAGCGGCTGCTGCCGGGTGCGCAGCCTCGGCGCAGCTGCGCCCGCGCGTGGCGCGGCAGCCCGGGCCTGCCAGCCGCCGACCCGGCCCGCCGTCCGCCGGCTGCCAGGCCCCCGCGCGGGGCCCACATAGGACCGGGGCAGCGCCAGCCGCCCGCCCCTCGGCGCCCAGGGCAGGGGGCTCGGCAAGGCGGCGGCGCGTTTTGAGCCCAGCCTTTCGTCCTCGTCACGATAATCGGCGTCGTCGTCCTCCTCCTGCTCTTCCTCCTCCTCCTCCTCCTCCTCCTCCTCCTCCTCCTTCTCATCCTCCTCCTCCTCCTCCTTCTCATCCTCCTCCTTTTAACACTAAACCAACCTAAGGTTTCCCTGTGGCGTTCTTCCTCCTCCTCCTCCTCCTCGTCACCCGCGCCCTCGCCCTCCTCTCCACTTTCTCTTCCTCCTCCGTCCTCCTTCCTGACTGAACCCCCAGAGCTCCTTTCCTCAGCGTGCCCTCCCTCCACCTTCACGCATGCCTCCTCCACTCCCGCCTCCTCCCATGCCCTCCCCCCCATTTCATCCCTCCTCAAGCTTCAGGGGAGAAACAGACACCACCGCCACCGAGAACCCATCCGGGGTGGGCCGAACCCTGGGCGCTGGCGCGCCTGATCGTCGTCCTGTACTCGGGGACGCTCGGGAGTGCCACGGCCCAGGGATCGCCCCCCATCCCCGCTGGGTTCTCGGTGGCGGTGGTCCTTGTCTCTCTTCTGAGAGCCTCTCCCTGCCTCCCCGCCCCCCCCCCAACCCGCGCCCCGCCTCCCAGGCGAGGCAGCCCCCGCCGGTGCCCTCCTCCCCGAGCTCTCGAGGGGTGCTCGGAGCCGGGCAGCTCCCGGGCGACGGCGGCCCGGCTCGAAGAGGCCCTTTCCCTCCCCCCCCCAAAGGGGAGGGCAATTCGGGGAGGGAGAGGGGGAGACTGATTCTTTGTATGTGATTTTGGGCCTCCCCCGTGACCGTCGAGTCGGGGGTTGCTGAAGGTGCCCCTGGCCCAGGTGCTCCCAGGATTTCCAGGGAGGCCCCAGCGGCCCCCAGAGAGCCCCTCACGAGGCCCAGAGGGCCCCAGGGGCTCCAACAGGGAGCCAAAAACTGGGGGCACCTTGTGCCAGGAGCACCTGTAGCAGTCCCCGATCGAAAACCACCGTGGCGACGCGGGCCTCCCCGGAGGCCCGCGAAGACGAGGAAAGGGTAGTGGCACTGGCTTTTTGTTCCCCCTCTGAATGTAGTGCGCCCTGACGGAGCCCCACCACCCCTATGGGCGCGGCTCATCTCTTCCGATGCCGGCGACTTTCCACTTTCGGGGATGGACAGACCCCCCTTTAGAAAAAACGTGGTTTAGTGAAAACGACCTGAGGCCCAAACCTGGCGGGCGCAAGCCTGGAAAATGACGGCCACGGCGCCCTCTCGAGAACCGAAAACGGACAATTCACTAATCGACGTGTCACTGTTGGGGTCTCTGTCCAGCCCCGACACTTTCCTTCTGGAGGGGCGCCCACCTATCGTCCCCACCTCCACTGGGTCTGGCATGGAGTGGGACGAAGGGCTCCGAGATGGCCCCAGATGCCGTCAGGTGGCCTCCAAGGCAGCACAGGATGGCCCGATTCGGGCCCGGCGTTTACTACGCCTCCAAGACGCAACGATATGCCCCGAAGACCGCCCAGGGTCTCTGAGAAGCCCAGACCAATGACAACAACAATGAATTTGAAATCGTCACGCCTTCGCGTCTGATATGTTTCCGGCGGCCCGGTACGGCCCCAACATCGCCCAAATTAGCCCATAGACCAAGACACGCTCCGACGGGCTCGAAGACTGCTCCAGAGGCCCGCCAACGCACCCCCAGACAGGCCGGATTCTGTCCCACGGGGCGACTCTTCGGCCTCCGACGGGCTGGGCGTGATCAAAGACACCCTTCGTTTATGGGTGCCCTCCAAGAAGACCCACGGGAGCCCCCCTGAGAGCCCTGACAGAGCTCCAAGAGAGCCCCAAAGGCTTCCGAAAACGCCCCAAGAAAGCGCCAAGTTTGCCCCACGAAACGAAAAACCTTTGTGGTTGACTTCAGGTCTCTTCGCGCTTCTCCGCCGCCACGCAAAGGATTCCCGAGTCAACCCTGGGAGCCTTGGCGGCGCCCCACGAGGAACACGTTGTGCCTGACCCAGTGCTACGAATGGAGAGCCCGAAGGTGACAGGATGCCTTGGGCCCTTGCGACTCGGTACGGACTGGCGGCAAGACGCCGCATGGATGACAAATCCCAAAGATCTCAAGCACCGCTGCGCGCGAGAGGTGCGTGCAAGATAGGAACAGCAACCGCGTAAACAAAAACTTTCGAAGGTCCGCGCGGCTGTCTTGGGTCTGCGCTGGGCTCCCCTCCCTGGCGCGCGGAGCCCGCCAGGGGCAGCACCAGGGGCGCTGCCAGGGGAGGCGCCAACGCCGTTCCGAGAACACCGCACGGAGCTCCGACACCTTGTGTGTGTGTGCGTGTGCGTGTGCGTGTGTGTGTGTGTGTGTGTGTGTGTGTGTGTGTGTGTGTGTGTGTGTGTGCGTGCGTGCGTGCGTGCGTGCGTGCGTGTGTGTGTGTGCGTGTGCGTGTGCGTGTGCGTGTGCGTGTGCGTGTGCGTGTGCGTGTGCGTGTGCGTGTGCGTGTGCGTGTGCGTGTGCGTGTGCGTGTGCGTGTGCGTGTGCGTGTGCGTGTGCGTGTGTGTGTGTGTGTGTGCAACGTTTGGTTCTTCGGTGCAAGGTCACGGGAGGGCCGCCGTGCTCGGAGACGCCAGGTTCCCAGGCCCCGTCCTTCCCGCGGCACGAAGCAGAAGACGTGCATCAGGAGCCGCAGGGCGTCGGCCATGAAGGCCTCCCCCGCCGCCTCCATGAAGACCTCCTCCCGCAGGGTCCACCTGGAGGGCAGAGGAACCACGCCACCCTTCTGCGTGGTGATCACCACGACGAGCATGAAGACAAAACTACATACACAGAAACTTTCGACGGTCCGCGCGGCTTCTTCGAGAGCAGCAGAAAAGGCCTCACTCACAATAAAGCACCCCGACGAACACAGCCCTGCAGGGACCGAGCATGACAGAGCTGCCTGGTAAACGCCCAGGGCTGCCGAGCAAACGGCCGTCCTGGGGTGCGAGGTGGCTCTTCTCCCCCTGGCCGCCGCACGACGCTCGGGCAGCCGAGCTGCTGCTGGAGGAGCTCCCGCAGGCCGCGCAAGAACGGGTGCGCCATCATCTCGCCGCCGTACGCGCGGCCGAACGCGGACAACGAGGCGCGCATCCTCTCCGCCGCGAGCCGGGTGGGCAGCTCCGACGCCTGTGAACGGGGGCTAACGATTTCTGAGCCGAACCTACCGTGTGGTCCGTAGGTTGAGGACGATGAGGAGAAGATATGGAGATATTTTATCCTCGCGCCCGTCGAACAGTGGGCCCAGGAGTATCAAATATGAGATTCAAGACGTCCAAAACCTAGGCCGAGAGGATAGCAAGACATGTGGATATAGAAAGGGGAAATGAGCGGTCTTCACACACACACAACGCCTGGCCGGAACAAAAGAACGACCGGCTCATGTCGATCCAAATTCACGGTCTTGTCAGGCAAGATGAGCTTGCGTAGATGGATAGAACGCGATTCTTCATGTTCGGCGATGACGGGCGTCATGGGGGGGGGGGGGGGCGGGGGGGGGCATGACGTGACGCCCCCCCCCGCCGTGTGGTTCCAGCACCACAACCGCGCCCGCGCGCACGACGCGACGAGCGACGAGCGACGACCGACGACGACGACGCGAGCAGCATGTAAGTGGCGATCTGCCCATTGCGCCTGTGCACCACAGCGCTCGCGTGCACCACACCGCGCGCGTGCACCACAGCGCCTGCGTACACCGCAACAGCCGTGTGCAACGCACCGCCCGTGTATACCACAATACTTGGGAGCACTACAGCGCTGGTGTACATACACCGCATCAGCCATGTGCAACACAACGCCTGTGTACACCACTGTGCTTGCGTGCGCCGCAACGCCTGTGCCCGCCACAACGCCTGTCTACACCACAGCATCCGCGTGCAACGCAGCGCTGGTGTAAACCACAGTGCCTGCGTGCATAGGACAGGTAGAAGGAGCATGTACGTCAGGATTTGCTGCGGACAACTAAACGCCACGCCAGGAAAGTTCTGAGAATCGAATGCGACGTTTTTCCCTCCTCCCTCCTCCTCCACCTCCTCCTCCTCCTCCACCTCCTCCTCCTTACCCCCTGTCGTGCGGCTTGGCGTTGCAACGGACGTGCGCATCTCAGCGTGCGCCGCAGAATGGTCGATTGAATCGGTCCACTTAGTTCTCGGACGGCCAGTTTAGCTGGAGCCTCCTGGACGCAAGTGGGGATTAGGGTGATGCGGGTGGACTGGGGGGGACTCGTAGATTCCAGCGGCGCTCCTTCGTCCATGAAGATTTGTTTTCCATTGTTTTCTCTGGAATCAACACGCGCTCCATTTTATCACAAGGATTCCTTCTGAAATTCTATACACAACAATGGTGTTGTGTTGCACACGGCTGATGTGGTGCACACAGGCGCCGTGGCGTACTCAGGCTCTGCAATGCACGCAGGCATTGTGGTGTACAATGGTGCTGGGTTGCGCACGGCTGATGTGGTGTACGGAGGCGCTGTGGTGTACACAGGAGCTGCTGTGCCCGCAGGCACGGTGGCACAAACTGACGTTGTGTTGCACGCGGCCGCTGTGGTGTACATCGGCGGTGTGGTGTACACAGGCGCTGTGGTGCACGCGGGCACTGTGAAGTACACAGGCGTTGTGGTGCATATCGCCACCTACGTGTTCGTGCTACCCGTCCTCCGTCATTCCGAAGCATTCCCAGACGCCGCCGGCGCGAAACGTGACGTCATCGACCCCCTCCCCCCCCAAAATGATTGCCGTCGTCGGCCCGGACTTAAAAACAGGCTCCAGCCGCGTCCGCGCGCACGACGACGATGAGCGACGAGCGACGAGCGACGAACCACGAGCGACGACGACGGACGACGACGACGACGACGACGACGACGACGACGACGACGACGACGACGACGACGACGACGCCTGCGGACCAGACACCTATGCGGATTCCTACGCGGACACCTACGCGGACCCCAATGCGCACGGCGGCCGTGCCCGGAGCGCACTCGGGGGGGGGAGCGTTACGTCATAGCGGGGGGGAGGGGGGGAGCGGGGGCCATGACGCCCGTCATGCCCCAAACAATAAAGAAACGGGCTCATACTGGCAGTACGCTGTCAACCATGGCTACCGCCAGAGACCTCGTCGACTCTGGGAGCCAGTCGAACTCAGAAATGTCCTGGCGAAGGACCCAACCCCCAACCATATGCAGGCGTGAATGCTGCAAGGCAAGTGTGAGAAAGGAAGGGGAGCTTCATATGGGAACAAATGCGCGTGAGGGGTGTGCCGACATAAAGGCGGGTATCGCACGCGAGCCTTGCCACTGGGGCCTTCGGTGGAGCTCCCTATGGGGCCACTGAACGTATGAGAAGAGTGTGCCGAAATGGGGCTGGTACCACATGCGAACCCTGCCACTGGGGCTTTCAGCTGAGCTCCCTGCGGGACCACGGCACGTGTGAGGAGTGCGCCGAAAACTGGGCGGATGCCGCATGCGAGCCCCAGTGTGCCGAAATGGAAGCGGGTACAGCACGCAAGCCCTGCCTCTGGGGCCTCCGGTGGAGCTCCCTACGGGGCAGCGAGGCTTGTGAGCGGCGTGCCGGGATGGAGGCGGGGAGGCCTTCGGTGGAGCTTCCTATGCGGGAGGAGGGAAGAGGGTGAGGAAGGAGGAGTGAACGCGGGCCGCCGCGGATTCAAAACGAGGACCCAAAACCACAGGATGATTGGGAACAACTATCAGACCACTCCATCGCTCCCGACACTGCGATCCCAGCTGTGCTGATCCCGGCTGCAGCAGACACATGTTATTTGTTCTTTTGGTTCGATCAGATCTAGGGCCACATCTTTTGTCGACGGTGAGCGTGGTAAGGTGCCGCAAGGATTCCCACGCCTTTCGGGGAGCAGAAGGTATCGTGGTGCACCTGCTGACAGGCCAATATTCTTGTTTCATTTGCAGGATGTTATGCACCCGCCGAAGAGCCGCTTTGAGCGTCGCTTGCGTGCGTGTGCTGAAGAAGTGCTATTGAACGCCTGCGCTTTGCGAGTCTTTTTTGCGCGTGCTCATTGTGTCTTTGCTAATTCGTGGTGCCATTTTTCTGTGAGCAATAGTTTGCCCGCGTAACGTGTGTTTGGCACTTGGTGCTGCAGTTTTACATGTGGCATCTTTTCTGCATCGTTCGTCAGTGTGTCTCCTCCGAAATTAAAGACAATTTTTCTGTATGGCATGGTATGTCGTTTGCTGTCGTTGTCCACTGTGTCATGTGATGCTTATCAGTAATGCCCATCTACCGCTGTTGAGCCATGCTCCGCTGACAATGCTGATGATCGTGTTCTGTCGGGCAAGCCTTTCTTGCATACCATGTGGCTAAGCTTGTAACTGTAGTTGTTCGCTTAGGTTTGTCAGTCTTATATGCGACATTGTTATGGTTTGCATCCATGCGCGTTGCCATTGTTCGCGCTCTGTGGTAAACGGCGCCCTGGCACATACATGTTCCAATGTTCGGTTTCCATGTGCACGTGCATGCCAAGCTGAATGAGCTACCAGGTCTAAATGCCCCATGTAACGAAGCCCTACTAATGCAACGAACGCGGTGCCCAACGTGCCTTCTTACCTGCAGTACGCTTTTCCGTTGCACTGTCATATGGTGTGCTCGTCTGTGATGACCATTCGCCGCCGTGGTTACTCACGCTCGTCGGCAATAGCTGTTGGGTGAGATGTTCGGATCGATGGCTGCCTCGCGTAGGGATCGGCCCGCGTGGCCGAATCAATCGAATCGAGGACATCACCGATCGAGCGACCAATCGTTTGAGTTTACCTTGATCGAAAACAAATCGTACTGCCGACTCGGTTGCACCGAAGAGGGGGGCCATGAAGAGAGGGGCTAGCGCATCATGGCCCGAGGCATGTGCGCGGACGAGGGGGGGGGATACAAGGGACGGATTGTAGAACAGGGGCTGTGAGATCTGTGAGACCTTTATGGCCCCGCCCCAGCCAGGATGTCCACACAAACCCCTAAGCAGTCCTGCCGCCCCTCGTGAACGGCCGTGGCTTCCTCGTCGTCTGGTATTCTGGTGATACCTCAGACCTCGGACCTCCCGCGGCCTTCCGGAACTATCCGGGCACCCCGGAATGCTTTCGACGAGGCGCAGCTGCTGGAACACATCTCGAGGCCAGGAAACCTCCCCTCCACGGACCAACTGGAACGCCAGACAACCAGTCTGAGCCTCAATCCGCCTTGCCTCGAACTTCCTCGAAGCTCCTCGACCTTTCTTCCTCGATCCTCGGGGTTAAAAACGGAGCCTCGGACCTGTTCTAGGGTGCATTCTGGCCAGAATTTCAATGCGGATCCAGCCGTGGCGAGGAGGAGCCCCCTGGAGGCCCCCCCAAAAACAGAAAAAGCCAACATTCGATCCTCGACGCGCCCTTACCAGACATGCGGTATCCAGATTTGTTCAATACGGGGTCCCCGAAGTCCCGACTGTTTCCACAGGACCGCTTTTTCACCCCGAGTCGTTTTCTGACGGTCCTGGAGCCTGGCGAGGGCCCACGGATGTCGAGAAGGAGGGACAACAAAAATCGCGTCGTGTTTTTTTCCTCGCGGCGCGAACATGTCTGGGTTCTGGACGTCCCCGATCTTAGACGCCCCCGACCGCCGCCGCCGGGGCGGTGCCACCAAGCTCCACGACGAGCCGTCTGAGGCGCATCCGAAAATCCGACAGAACCTTGATCCTCGAACCTCCTCGATCCCCCTCGACGCTCGGCTACACGCGAGAGCGACAGGCAAGAGTGACCTTTCAGGGGGCCGCCAGGGGGCCAAGTCCAGGCGCGCAAGCGGCTGCTAGCACGTCGCACTCGGCGAATTTCGGCGATCGGGGGACCGAACCTTGATCCTCGAGCCTTCTCGATCCTGGAGCTTCGAACCTCCTCGATCCCCCTCGACGCGCCCGATCCTGGACAATCCCCCGACCGCCGCCTCGCGCGCCGCGGCCGGAGCGGCGCCGCCGAGCTCCGCGACGAGCTGCCCGAGGCGCTCGCGGCGGGCCCGGGCGCCCTCCAGGTGCACGGCCGAGCGGGCCGCGTTGCGCGCCGAGACCTCGGCGCTTCTGGGGGCCCAAGTCGTCGTCGTCGTCGTCGTCGTCGTCGTCGTCGTCGTCGTCGTCGTCGTCGTCGTGGTGGTCGTCGTCGTGGTGGTCGTCGTCGTCGTCGTCGTCGTCGTCGGCGTCGGCGTCGGCGTCGGCGTCGTCGTCGGCGTCGGCGTCGGCGTCGGCGTCGGCGTCGGCGTCGGAGTCGTCGTCGTCGTCTTCGTCGTGTCCAGTGCCAGCCGCGGACGTGGAGGACCCGCTGGCCCTCAGGGGGCTGCCATGAGCTTTGTCCGTGTCCACGCGCGGCGAAACGCAAGGAGGAAAAGAAGCAGCAGGAGGAGGCGGGGGAGAGGCCAAAAGCCAGCGCAGCTGCAGGGGTGGCCCGGCGGGGGGAATGGCGGGGGAGGGGGCGGGGGCAGGCGGGCGGGGGGCAAGAGAAGAGGGCGAGTTGGCGGTCCAAGGGGCCGCGGTGAATGTGGTGGTCATGCTGGTGGTCGAGCTGGTATGGTTGGCGTGTTGGCGGTCGTGGTGGCCGTGGTGGTTGTGGTGGTAGTGCTGGCGAACGCGCGGGAATCGTCAAATGTGATAAATGGAAACGTCGTCGGGGGAGCCGTGCTGGTCGGTAGTCGGAGGCGGTGGTGATCAACCAGTTGCGCCGCCGCGAGGCCACTCCTGCGGGAACGAGCCTGCTTGCGCGGGGCATAGGTTGTGTGTGCGCAGGTGACGGCCCAGTCCACGTGGGATGTGGCGCCTGGTGTTCTGGTCGATAATGACGACGTCAAGGACTGCCTCTTGCAGGCGCCCGTCGGCGAGGCGGCGGTCCCAAGCGGCTACCCGCTGCTCGGTCGGGGCCGCGTGTCCGGTGAGCTCAAAGTGGCGCTTGGCGTGCCAGTCCCGGAAGCGATTATGCCAGCGTGCCCTGGACCCCCGACATCGCAGACCCTCGCGTGCCAGCCCTTCCTGTCGAGGGGTTTGTTGCAGCCTTGTCCTGTGCTCTTGCACGCGTGCTGGCATCTGGCCCCGTCGGGGCAAACGGGCGCGTCGAGCCTCATTCTCAGGTTGGCGACGAAATTCTTATCTGCCTGCGCCGTGTTGCCAGACCGCCGAGACAATAGGAAAGAGCCCGCTCCGGTGCCTCCGCCGGACAGCAGCGAGGCGGCCGTCTTCGTCCAGAAGGGTGTTAAAGAGCAAGTATTCTTTGGCCTCGGAGGCAGCTTAGCCCCCCCTGCCGCTTGTTGCACGGCTCCCGCAAATCGTCCAGCAAGCGCAGCGGCTCGTCCCTCAGGGCCCCAGCCGCCTGGAGCGCCCGTTCTGCCTGGGCTAGCGCTTGGAGGGTGCGCGGGCAGCGAGCGCTGAACTCCTCGTCGTGTGGGCAGAGAGCCCAGCTTGCGGCGCAAGCGGCGGAAGCGGTCTGGGCCGCGGAAGGGAAAGCGCAGCCCCCGTCCGGGAGGCGCAGCGTAGCCCGCAAGCGCTGCGCGGCCCCCAAGGGCTCGCCCGAGGACGTTGTCGAGCTCCTCGACCCACGCGGTCTGCAGGTTCGCCCGGAGGTGATGCGTGACGCACCCCTGTCCGTAGGTGCAAAGGAGGGTGTAGGCGGCCTCGGCAGAGAGGCCGGCGGCCCGCAGCTCCAGGAGGCGGGCGGTGAAGGCCTGGGCACGGCTTACTGCGGCGGCCCCGTCGGCTCTGGCGTGCACCAGGACCCTGTCCTCCCGCTGGTCTATCCAGGGCGCGGCGCTCCCAAGACACATCAGGGTCTGTACCCGGAGAACGCTGATGCCTGGCGGCAAGGGGGCTTGTGGGTCTGCCGTCCACGCTTGTGTCTTGTCGAGGTTGACGGTGAGGCCGAAGCGCGCAAGCTCTGCGGGAACTAACTGGGCAGCCGCAGCGGCGTGCCCTGGCGGGGCGAAGACCATGATGTCGTCCAAATAGGAGAACATCCTGGCATTCCAGCGAGATCTGCTGAAGCCTGCCGCTGATTTCGCCCAAGGCCCCCGCCACGGCGATCGCGAAGAAGGCCAGCGAGAGCGGGCATCCCTGGTCGACCCCGCTAGTCGCCCGAACGGGCTCCGCCTCACTGTTGTTGTCCCAGAACAAGTGCGTGGTCTTCCCCCCCCTGCCAACAGCGCGCACACCTGAGCAGAGCAGGCGCCCGGGCCCGCAGGCCGTTGAGGATCTGCTGTCTGGGTAGGCTGTTGTAGGCGCTGCTGCAGTCAAGCGCGAGGACCACACCCCGGGGGTTGGACTCCGTCAGCGCCGAGATACATGTGTGCATCACCTCGCAGCACCCTGCTTTCCCAACCACAAACTGGTGCGGCCCGCACCCGTTTTTGATGTCTTCTTGGAAGACGTCGCAGGCGGCCTTAGCGGCAAGACGACGCAGCACACTTCCACAGGCAATTGGCTGAACCCCCCCGTTCCGTTTGCGGAGAGCCACGAGGCGCGTGCTGAGGTTGGCCTGCATGGCTGCTGGGGATAGAAGGCCGCAGAGGAAGAGGACCGTCACTTTGGCGACCGAGTCCAGCGCTGTCGAATCCTTCAGAAAGTGTGCGCCACTGCTCGAACCGCCCCCCACTCGGCCCAAGCCTTCCTGACCAGACGTTCGCCGACGAGGAACTCCACCGCTTTGGCGTCCTCTGTGGGCGGGTCGGCCCTCGGCGGCCTGGTCCCCGCCTCGGTGTGCGCCTCCCTCCAAAGCGCCCCCCCAGTCTCCAGCCTCCGCCAGGCGCAGTCTTCTCATGAAGATCTCTGTGCGGCCTCCTGTGTTTTTCCTTGCTTTTCTGCCCCCCCCTGGCCTTGCTGGGCTTCAAGAAGAGGAGCCGGTCGAAGAAGGTGAAGAGCTTCTCTGCGCGCCGTAGAGTAGCCGCGTCTCCGTTTTCAGCTGCCTGCAGGAGTCGTTGCGCGACGTGTCCTCGAAGCTGCGCTAAAGCCGCGCCCACCCCATCGGGGACGTGTGGTTCTGTGGTCACCTGGTGCCCGAGCTCGTCGTAGTCCACAGTGTCCCACCACGCCAAGTTTCTGGGCTGCTCTCCGTCTTCCGCGAACTCCTCTGGGATGTTGGCCAGGCCCCCTTCGTCCGCGCCCAGGAGGGGGGCGCCGGCGGCAGCTTCTTGTTGGTGTTGCTCGGGGTCCGCTCTAGCGCGCTTGGCTCGGCGCGTGTCTTCGGCGTACTGCGCCCTCGTAATCCGCCCAGGCTGGTCGCAGTGTTCGCGGAGGGCGTCCACCTGCTCAACGGTGAGGGCGGTGACGCCTCCGAGCTGGCCAAAGGGCCTCAACCCGCCTTCGATGCACCGGGGGTTGGTAGAAAAGCTTGTTCGCCTGGTTCGGGTGGAACGCACGCAGCTCTCCCTTCTCGATGCGCTCCCCGCACCCAACTGCCCGACACAGGCACGCCCGCCGCGACCGCATTGCGTCCACGGCCCACGTGGCGACCAAGGCGTCTCGTCCAGGTGGTGGCCTGGCTTGCGGGTGCGGGTCTGGCGGCGGAGGCAGGGCTCCGGGCGCGGGCAGGTCGTCAGGGAAGGCTGGCCACTGACAGGCGGCCGCTGCAAGAGAACGCCCTGGGCCCAGTCCAGATGGCCAATTCCCTTGCAGAGGAAATCTGGAGTCCATGAAAGTTGCTGTTTGTCGGATGATTTCAAATCGGCGTAGTTGGGGTCGGAGGGTCGCGATGCACCAGCGCCGTCGGCGTGGAGAAAGTCGGGGTCCACGCCACGAGAAAACATGACGTCGGGGGACTGAGCCCTGAGATCCTGGCGTTGCAACATTTTCACACCGGGCGTTTTCGCCAAACGTCGGGCCCAGGGGACCGTCACGGATCGATCCAGCTAGAAAAATCGCACAGAAAGATGGGGTCTGGGACTCAATGCTGCAAATTGCGAAATTTGTAATGTGATTACCTGCGATGTGATTAGCTATGCTGCTGCAACTTTTCGCAACGTCAGATCTAGGACTCCATGGGGTCCAGGACTCCAGTTGCGATGATCTGCGATGCTGCACTTTCTCGCCGCGCCAGGTCTCAGGGTGGTGGCGGACCGCGCGGCAGCGGAACGCCAAGACGAGACCAGTGCCGGGACCAAACATCGGGCCTGGACGGATATACGTAGGATCTCCGAGGTCTGGCGGGGGACGTGTCCGGAGAGCGCTCCAGGGCGCTCTGCGAGCCGCGCCTCCCAGAGACCTCGGCGCACGGCGGGCGGCGGGGCTGCGGAGACGAGGCTCGGCGACGCCTGCCATATGGCTCGGGCGCCCATTCCCCGTGCATTCACCGGTTGCGCACGGCCCTTTTCTGCCGGATGGTCCAGGATGCTCCTCGATCGTCCCCGCCGAGGAAGCAATCCACACCGCGATGCCAAGGACAGGGAGGGACTGGCGCAGAGCTTGCGATCGCCTGCTGCAGCATTCCGGAAACCAGAGGCAGTTTCCATCGCTCTGGGGGTGCCCTGGACGGCGGCCGAAGAGCCGAGTTATGGCCCGAGAACCGTGTGGTGACGGACCGCGTGGTGACCTCGGGATCCCCAGCGACTTCACAGCGCGGTGTGCACCGCACGGCCTTGGGTCCAAAGAGGCCCGAGTGGCCTGAGACGCCCCCGGGAAACGACCCGAGTCCCAAAACCGTGCGGTGACCCCGAATCCCAACTGACTTACCACGCGGTGTGGTCACCACACCGTTTGGGCCCCCCCCCTGCTCTCTCAGAAGCCCTCGCGCAGACGAAGACAGTGCCGGGGAAAACATCGGGCTGGGACAGACCGGGAATCCCTGAGATCTTGCGCTTCGGGAGGATGCAACCGGAGCCGCGGCAGCTCCAGAGCGCTCCAGAACGCTCCGAGAGCGTTCCGGAACGCTCGGGGGCGCGGCAGCTCCAGAGCGCTCCAGAACGCTCTGAGAGCGTTCCGGAACGCTCGGGGGGAGGAGGGCCAACCTCGTCGAGCTCCGTGGCTCCACCGCGCGCCTCGGCCCGGGTGTGCGCTCCAATTGTGGTCGGCCTCACGGGCCATGGCCGCCGAGCGGGCCGCGGCAGATTCCTGCGAGGACGCCTCGCTCAGCAGCCTGGCCCTGGCCCAGCCCTCGCCCATGGCGGGCGGTGAGATGCCGATGCCGCTGCCCTTCCCTCGTCGCCCGGGCCGGAGTGGGCCCCCGAAGCCACGGCCGGAGCGCACCCCAGGAGAGGTCTGTGGAGCGGTGGGCCGGGCAGCTTCTCGCCCCCCCGCCTTGCCTCCGCGCCCCCGCGCCCCGCGGTGCGCGGCCAGCTTCGCGCCGCCGCGCCCCCCCCCCGGAGAGGGCCGGCTCGGCGGCCACAGCCGCGACGCGTGAAGCGTGGCCGTCGTCTCCTCGCCCCCAGGGGCGCCCGGCCGGTCCCAGTCTGGGCCGCGGCACCGGGGCGCCAACCCGAATGATGCTCGCGTCATCCCTCTGACCGCGACACCGTGGCACCGTGGCGACAACCCTCTGACCGCGACACCGTGGCACCGCAGCCCCTCTCCCCCTGAAGGGAGAGAGAGGCGCTCGTGAAGGCCGCTCGCCCGCCCCTTCCGCCGCGCTCTGCCAGCGCGCGCTGGGAGCACGCGTGGGCTTTCGACGCGATGCCCTCTTTCCGTGGCCGAGTCTTTGGGACATCCACCAGTCAGCGCTCAGGATACCCCCTGCGAAATTCGGCCAAATTCGTTTGCCGCCTCCAATGTCTAATACGCGGGCAGCAAGGGCCTCTCCCTGCTCTCACAGATATTATTCTCACGGTGTCGGCCTTTTGTTGAAACACCCGAACATGCAGCCTGCCAACATAAACTCGCACAATCGGGCACTCAAGCTGAACTCCAGACGCTTCGAGGGCCTTCCCGATGGAGGGCCTTGGTCAACGATTGCGCGACCGATCGGAGTCCACGGTTGGCAGTCAGTCGCGCGACCCGAACACACCTCCGATCGCAAGGCCGATCATGCCGCCACGCATGAGATGCTTGTTCTGGAGACCTTCTGGGAACCACTCGCTCAACTCATGCATCGATGCTGCGTCGAACGTCCGTCGACTTGGGTCGAACTTGACTAGAACTGGAATCGAACTAGAGTCGAACTAGAATCGAACAGATCCGTCAGGTGGGCCCCAGGCCCCAGAAAGTCTCCATGAGGAAAATCTCACGCGCAGGTCCCGTACAGATCTCGCGACTGGCTCGGCGGACCCGAGCGAACCAGTCGTGCGACCACCGACTCGCCACCGCCCCAGCCGCCGTCGGGGATCGCCCGATCCAAGGACACTCAGGTCCGGGCGTAGGCGCCGTACCGCTCTGCAGAGAGAGGCACCGGCGCCCCGGCCAAATCCAGGAGGCCCGCGGCAGCCTGGAGGAGAGCAGAGTCAGAGTCGCGAGAATCATTCGGGGGCGGCCAAGAGGGGGGCGTCCAAGAGGGGGGGGGGGGGCGCAAATCATGGCCGGCGGCATGTGCGCGGCCCAGGGGGGGGGCACGAATTGAAACTCGCCGGCCCAACGGGCCAGAGGCGTGCTATGATCTCCAGTAACCGCGTACAGAATTTCTACTTCGCGCGCGCGGAGCGGCCCCTGGGGGTCCCTAGACGAAAAATATCCCGGGCGGTCCCCAGCCGGTTCGAGTCAGAGATCCCCGGCCGGGTCGGGTCGGGTGGGCGCCGCCCTCGAGGCCCTCCAGAAAGCCCAAAGAACAAAAGGGCTCCGAGATGCCACAAGATCGCTCCAAGATGCCCAAGATTGCCCCCAGACGCCAAAAGAGGCTTCCAAAAGCACTCCCAAGAGGGCCCCAAGAGGTAACATTCATTGATTTGCCTTAGGTTTTGGACAGATTTCGGCGTTTCCCCCTTTTCGGCTTCCCGACGCCTCAGGACGGCCCAAGAGGTCCACAAGATCGCCCCAAGAGGGCCCAAAGAGAGCCCCAAGACGGCCCAAGAGGGCTCCAGCACTGCCCAAGACGACTCCAAGACGGCCCAAGAAGGCCCCAAGGGCGCCCCAAGAGAGGCCCCAGATGGGGAACACGAAACAATACTTTGAGCCCTCGGCCGTAAGCAGCCCCCAGGAGGTCCCCAGAGGTCCCTAAGAGGCCCGAAGAGGCCCCCAACAGGCGGTCAGGAGGCCGCCGAGAGGCCCCCAAGAGCTCCAAAAAGGCTCCAGATTAAGACGTTCCCGAAAGTCTCGCAGAACTCCCAAGAGCTTCCTGTGCACTCCCGGTGCGCGAAAATGGGCCGGCGGAATGAGCGAAGCGATTCAAAGAGAAAAGGCGCCATGAACTCTTGAGGAAATATCATGGCCCACGCCATGATATCCACCCCCCTAGTCATCACACCCCTCTTGGCCGCCCCTGGGAATCAATGTTCACGGTCCAGGAATCCCGGCCAGAGGGATGTGCTGTTGTGCGTCGAAACCAGCAGACAGATCCTTCAGCACATTTTGCTACAGAGGGGGCAGAGATCGGTGCCACAGCAGTCTACCATGGGAGTGCTCATGCTGCGAGGGCGAGGACGCGAGGACGCGGAGGCGGCGCCCTCCCGATGGTCTTTCGCGATGCTGATACCACGGGCTTCGACCCAGAAGACCCCCTGACATTGCGTTTTTGGGGGGCAACGTGGAGCCTAGGAAGTCTGGACCCTTTCCCGGGACAGATTTGTTAATACATCCCTGATTTTCCACGGCCCATGTGGACTGATGAGGGCCCCCAGGGCCGAAGATCGTCGAAGCTCTCCCGTCGCGCTATTTCGCTGCGCGAGGGGAGCTGGGCCACAGTCGGGCTGCTGAACTACGGAACGATGAATAAGGAACGACGCCCCTCGTCGTGCTCCCAGAGCGCCTGGGTGCACGAGGAGGGCTATGCGAGCAACCAAGGACGGACCGAATTATCCCAACCCCCGACGTCGTGACGTTTTCACAACGTCGACCCCCAGAGGTCTGATCCAATTCCCCGGGACCGGCTTTGCATCCCGCGTCGTTTGCTCGTGGTTCTGGGGCCCGGTACGGGCCCCTCGGATGCCAACCACAGCGAGAAACTTCCCGTCGTGATCTTTTCACCACGCGAGGGGGTCTGGGCAAGTAATGTCGAGCCCATTTCCGAACCCAAGCCGTTCCTTGAACGAAGGATTGCAAAAAAAACCCGAAGGATTGCAAAACATGATGGACCCACGAACCCGGAAAGGGATATAGACATGTGGAGCATGGACACGTTTTCATGATACCCAACTGGGCAACACCTCACGAAACATCCCACGAGACACCTCACTCCCACGAGACACCTCACGAAACATTCCACGAGACACCTCACGAAACATTTCACGAGACACCCCGCGAAACATTCCACGAGACACCCCACGAAACATTCCACGACGACAGGCAACCACTCAACCAAGGCGGTGTGGTCGTGCTGGGGAGTGGTCGTGCTGGGGTGTGGTCGTGCTGGGGGGTGGTCGTGCTGGGGGGTGTGTCGTGGGGGGTGGTCTGGGGGGGTGGTCGTGCTGGGGGGTGGTCGTGCTGGGGCGTGGTCGTGCTGGGGCGTGGTCGTGCTGGGGCGTGGTCGTGCTGGGGCGTGCTGCTGGTAAGGTCGTGCTGGGGTGCGGTCGTGCTGGGGTGTGGTCTTGCTGGGGTGGGGTCGTGCTGGGGTGTGATCGTGCTGGGGTGGGGTCGTGCTGGGGTGTGGTCGTGCTGGGGTGTGGTCGTGCTAGGGTGGGGTCGTGCTGGGGTGGGGTCGTGCTGGGGAGTGGTCGTGCTGGGGTGTGGTCGTGCTGGGGTGTGGTCATGCTGGGGCGTGGTCGTGCTGGGGTGGGGTCGTGCTGGGGTGGGGTCGTGCTGGGGTGGGTTCGTGCTGGGGTGCTCCGCACCCTGTGATTTATCGATCGGGTCGTGCTGGGGTGTGGTCGTGCTGGGGTGTGGTCGTGCTGGGGTGTGGTCGTGCTGGGGTGTGGTCGTGCTGGGGTGTGGTCGTGCTGGGGTGTGGTCGTGCTGGGGTGTGGTCGTGCTGGGGTGTGGTCGTGCTGGGGGGTGGTCGTGCTGGGGGGTGGTCGTGCTGGGGCGTGGTCGTGCTGGGGCGTGGTCGTGCTGGGGCGTGGTCGTGCTGGGGCGTGGTCGTGCTGTGGTGAGGTCGTGCTGGGGTGTGGTCGTGCTGGGGTGTGGTCTTGCTGGGGTAGGGTCGTGCTGGGGTCGGGTCGTGCTGGGGTGTGGTCGTGCTGGGGTATGGTCGTGCTGGGGTGGGGTCGTGCTGGGGTGGGGTCGTGCTGGGGTCTGGTCGTGCTGGGGTGTGGTCGTGCTGGGGTATGGTCGTGCTAGGGTGGGGTCGTGCATTTCGCTCGAGACATCCTGCCAAAATTCCAGGAAATCGTACAAAAACAAACAAATTAGTCGAAACATCATCGAAATTCCTTCGCGCGGGGCGCTTTTCCGCGTCGCGGTCGGCTCTGCAAAACAAGCGTTTCGCTCGAGACATCCTCGGCAAACTCTGCGGAGCAAGCGTTTCGCTCGAGACATCCTCAACACACGAAAAAGTGGCCCGCACCCTGTGATTTATCGATCGGGATTTCAAAAACAAGCGTTTCGCTCGAGACATCCTCAAATTTTAATTCGCCGGCCTCCTTCGACCTCGTTATTTATCAGGGAAAAAATTCGCCGGCCTCCCTCAAGCAGGCACCGGGGGATTAGGTTTACCAACTAAAAGAGAACCCTGGGCCCACGCCCTTTCCGGGAAAAACCCTTCGAAGGATTGCAAAAAGGATTGCAAAAAGGGTTTTTTTGCAATCCTCCCTTCGAAGGGTTTTTTTGCAATCCTTCGCTCCAGCGCCTTGGCTGTACACGCCTTCGGCCTCCTCCCGCCGGCTTCTGCCGCCAAACCTGGCCTCGCCCTGCTTCCCCAGACTCGGGGATCTGCTGACCCGGGCCAATGCGAAGGAGGAGGAGGAGGAGGAGGAGGAGGAGGAGGAGGAGGGCCCGGGCCAGTCGGGCTCTGCAGGATCCTGCAGGAGCCTGCGCGCTGGCCCAGGTCGACGCAGCCCTGGCCCTGAAGGATCCTGCAAGATCTGGCGCTCTGGCGGACCCCCGCCTGCATCGACCCCCGTCTCAGGCCTCCCAGCAGACCACCCGCTGGCCTCCGCGGGGGAGAGCGGGCGTCCGCTCCCGCAACCAGCGGAGATACCCCGGCCCCGAAGACCAGGACGGGCAGCCCACAGTTCAGCGCCAGAGGGTGGACCATACTTCCGCACGGGCCTCAGGTGAGCAGCTCTCGCCTTTAGCTCAGAGTAGATCATCCACTTTTTTCTTCTCCCACGCCACCTCGCCGTGCCCCTCCCGCAACTGTTCAATCCACAAGGTGAGTTTGCTCTGTCTTCCCCGGTGGATTCACACACTTTCGCGCGACTTAGGAATAAGCCCTTCCTGATAACGTATGATCGGAATATGTGTCTGCCAGCATGAATCCCAATCAATTCGCTTCTGGCACTCTGGATGCGTAACTCATGGGGCACAATATACAGGATTATGCTGGCAATGGTGATGGCGATGGTGCTGATGAGGATGACGAGGAAGTGCGTGGGCGCAGAAACTCTGACATGCATTTCGCATGGAAGAGCCATCTGTTTCATTTGGACACATCAATCTTGCCATGCTCAGATGACCAACGGGTTTGCAATGGTTTCGACATGCGTGCGCAGGGCACGCGTATGGCATACATGTTATGATTTCACAGGGATGACAAACTTAACACTTCCGACATGCGCGCGCGGTCCGCTTTTTTCCTCTCACCAGGGGGCCAGCGGGCACTCTCGAGGTCGTTGGAGTCCTCGGGCCTCAAGCGGAGCGGACGGCAAACGACCACAAGCTCGTGGCCACCACCACCACACGGGGACACGGGCCAACGGCCGCGAGAACAAGCAACAGAGGTGCCTGTATCCCGAAAGCAGCGTGCTGCTGCATGCTAGCGCAAGAAGATGCGAGCATGTTGGGCCCAGAATTCGCGAGCCGCGCGGTGACGTCGCGCGAGGACGCGGAGGCGGACTTCAAAATGCTGAGAGGGCGTCCCCCTAACCCTCAGACGGAAGGAAGGAGTGCATATACAAAAACGCATCACATAGCATAGCAGAAAGAAGACTTTGGTCAGGCCCCATTCGGGAAAAAAGGAGGTAGGGAAGAAGCCAGGGCACGCCCTCAGGAGGCCAAGGAGTCCAAATGCCCATCCACTTGTCACAGAGACGCCGAAGAGAAGGACAATGACAGTAGTATTTCATATCGTCGAGGACGCACGAGGAAGAGGAGGTACAGCCCATGAGACATCCCCGAGACGCCGAATGGAAACGGGACGACGTACACACAGATCGGGACAGAATTCTAATCACAGCGAGCGGAATGTACATGTTCGTCTTCCGAGACATCGGTCGGAGCAGTCGAATCACACGACCCAAATCTTGCGCAGACACCCCAGGGAGCCACGCCCGAGTCATCCGAAATAGGGCCTCAAGTGGGGGGCACGCAGGTTGCCGGCGCGACCCGCTTTGGCTCGAGAGCGCGTGGACATCATTATGGCATTGCTTGTGGGGAAGAAAATTGTGATCAGCCTTTGTGTAGACTTCTTTGAAAACCAAATTATATCGTCGAGCGGATTTGGGCATGTGCGCGCGCGTGGTCCACACTGTCTTATCTCGTGTGGATTCATTGAACACGCACTTGACAGATCAAAGCGAGTGCTCTGCATGGTTTTGCCACAGACGAGGTGGAGAGGGGGTCGATGGTGGGACTTACTGGGATGATACGACTTCATACTTGAAAGAGGGCGGCCGTGCAGAACTACCACGAAAAGCCACTACTCGGAGGAGGCACGTGTAAGTCCAGCCCCGTCATGGGGTATAGTTCGGCATTCGGGCTGCATTGCGCAACCTGTGAGAACAATCTCTGTGGAGCAAGCTGTGCGATGAGACATCTCTTGCCGCGAATGAGGCGCAAGCGCCAGACAGAGCGCAGGGAAATCACGAGGCGGCCACGGGCCACAACCGGGTGCAAACCAAGAGAACCCAGCCAAATCACGAGGCGGCCAACGGGCGGACCTGGCGAACACCCGGGGAAGCCCACCAGCGCACGAGGCGGCCACGTGAAGGCCACTGGCGGCGAAGGGGCGAAAAGCAGAGGAACCCGCTCCACGATCTAGAGAAGTAGACAGCACCACTGCTGCGGGAAAGATGCTCGGTGGTGGTCAGAGCGGCATCTGCAAACAGCAAAACCGCGTCTCGGGCAAACCACGGGGCGGCTCACGCCTCGTCGGTTTATCCGGTCGTTCAACACTGCATGATACGATGTTTGTCTATTTTCTTCTATATAAGTCTATATACATACACATGTATTGATTACGCCGTGCTTGTGTAAGGCGTTGTGTGTTGTAGTCTGCTTTGCTGCTTCAACGTCTCCTTATTGCACGGTTGCTTGACGAATTCTGTGAGCGTCTGAAATGAGTGAGGAAAAATGACACGGCGTCCAACACCACGTGTTGCCAAACCCAACAGCGGCTGCTATTGGGCAGGTGACTTTCTGGCTCACGTGGACACGCACGGGGCGACAGTGACAGCGAGCCATGTCAAAATGCTCTCCTACTGCTGTCAATCTTCGCCCACATTCTTTCTGGCCCCATGCCGACCGTACCCAAGCCTGCTCGAGCATCGTTTAACCGATCCCCATCCCCACGAGCGTGGGCTGAGCCCCACTGGCCGATTGGCCCCCCTTGGTGGGGATGCAGGCTGCTCTCTTCGGGTTTCGAGGGGTACATCCCCAACCGAGGTGGTGAGACGGTGGAGCTCGAGATGTGGATGGGGATGGGGATTAGGCGAACGAAAAGTGACATAAACATAAAAACTCTGAGATTCGCGCGGATTTCTCGGATCGGCGCTGGACCCCCCTCCCTGGCGCGCGGAGCGCGCCAGGGGCGGCGCCGGAGGCGCCGCCGGGGGGCCCCAGCGCCGATCCGAGAAATCCGCGCGGACCTCCGAGTTTTTATGTTCATGCCACTTGTTCCCCCAGGGATGGGGATGGGTTAAACGATCCTGACTGCTCTTGTGCGTCTTTTTGGGGGCTGAGGGGGAGGAGGAGGAGGAGGAGGAGGAGGAGGAGGAGGGAGGAGGAGGAGGAGGAGGAGGAGGAGGAGGAGGAGGAGGAGGAGGAGGAGGAGGGGGAGGGGATTGGGGATGGGTTAAACGACACCGACTGCTCTTGTGCGTCTCTTTGGGGGCTCCCTCCCGGCTGCCAGCAGCCGCGCGGCCCCCACGGCCGTGACGGGAGCCGGCGCCTGGCCGCCTCCGGGAGAGCAGGCCGCATCGAAGTGCTCCAGCGCCGCCCGCGCGTCCGCGTCCCCGCCGCGGAAGAAGCGGGCGCACGTGGCGGACCTTTCGGGGATGGACAGACCTCCCTTTAGTAAAACGTGGTCTAGTGAAAACGTTCTGAGGCCCAAACCTGGCGGGCGCAAGCCTGGAAAATGACGGCCGCGGCGCCCTCCCGAGATCCGAAAACGGACAGTTCACTCATCGACGTGTCACTGTTGGGGGTTCTGTCCACCCCCGAACCTTGTGGAGTTTGTGGAGTCCTTGCCGTCGCTCGGACGTCCATTTCCCGTGCATTTGTCGGTTTCGTGCGTGCTTTTTTGGCTCGATGGTCCAGGATGGTCCTCGATGGCTCTCGCCGAGACAAAATGCACGCGTCCGAGCGATGCCAGGAGTCTGAGCATCGTTGAGCCGATCCCTATCCCCACGGGCGTGGCTTGGGCACCACTGGCCGACTTGCCTCCCTCGATGGGGGGATGTGGGCTGTTCCTCTCGAGCTTCGGGGCGCAGATCCCCAGCTGGGGTGGTGGGATGGTGGGGATGGGGATGGGGATGGGGATGGGGATGGGGATCGGTCAAACGATACCGAGATTCGCTCGCGGTCTGTTTGCTCGGGCTCCATCCCTGTCGCACACAAGAAATAATCATATCGCGCAACAATCGCACGTATGGTGACTTGTCGAAGCCGGGGCACGGAACACGTGCCCCCCCTGCTGCAGACAGGTTCAGCCAAGACAGTGTTTGGAGCAAGGGGGCATCCGAGAACAAATCGTGAGGCTTATCATGATTGCTCTCGCTCGGTTTCCCTGTGCGCAGTTCGGTTTATCGACGCGAGCGCCCAGAGCCCCTCCTTTGTGAAGAGATGACAGTCGAGTGCACTTCTCCGCACGATCGGGTGAACTGTTCCAGCGACCGCAGCGGCGGGAAGGCAACGCATACACCTACGGCCTTGCAAGGCTGCGGCGCGACAGACTCAATGAGGCCATCGGCGTCGGGAAAACAATAGTGAATATGAACGTGTCGCGCGCGCGACGCAGTGCTCACTCCCGGCTCGTCTCCGCCTGCTCTGCGCCGCCGTGTTCTTGCCCACCCCTGGTCAGCCTGGTGTTAGGTCGGGCACGTCCCCCTACAGGCGGATTTTGGACGAACAAAATTTAAGTATTTAAAACAGATGCAAAAAATGCTCAAGCATACCAAAAAATGCCCCCATATTATTTTCTTGACTATTTTTGAATACTTCCCCTGTAAAAAAACAGGCCCGACTCAAGACTGGTGCCCTGGGCCCTGCCCGCCTCTGCTTTGGCGCTGCCGGCCACACGCGTCGCGCTGGTGCCGTGCGTCCCTATGGCTCCATCGGAGTGGCGCCCCACCCAGGCCGAACTGGCGCCCCCGCCCTCTTGGGCGCTGCCCGCCGCACAACCGGCGCCGAGCTCTTGCGGCTTTGGGGGGGGGGGGGGGGGGTCGAGCAGAGCAGCGCCGCACGCACGCCCAACCATCACGGCAGGTACGTGTCGTGCCGACCCCGGCGTTGGGCCCTGACACCGCGGGAAGCGTTCAGCCTTGAGCGATCGGTAGTCTACCAAACGTCCGATCGTTCCACATCGACCGATTTTGGGTCGCCGGCGGCGTTCAACCTCGCCGCTGGTCGACACGACGCGAACCTACCGCGCCCTCGTCCCTCTGGGTGTGGCCAGCCGCGCTGCAGTCGCTACGCCCCTGCGCCCCTGGGGGTCCAGCGGAGGGGCGCCACACGCAGGCCCAGCTTTTAACGTATCCTCTCGCCTTGCGGCGCTGCCGGCCGCACAAGATTCGACGGCGTCTTGCGCGCCTGGGGGTCCGGCGGAGTGGCGCCACGCGCTGCGCGCGTGCACGATGAACGCTTTCGATGCTGTGGGGCTCGGCGAGCTGCGCACGCGTCGAGACGTTCCTTGCGTCCCTGGGATGTTCCAGGGGGCGGCGCTGCACGCAGACCCAACCGGGTGCTGCCAGCACAAAACCTTCGCCACCCTCAGGCGCCCCATGAAGTGCCCAGCGGGGTGGCACCGCTTATTCAACTGAGATCCTTGCGCCGCCCCTTTCCTGAGCCCCTGGAGGGAAGTGTCGCCAGTCGCAAGCTCATCTATCACTCTCGCTCCCCTCTTGACTCCGGTTGCTGCCACACGCACGTGTCGTCGCGTTCCCGCGCCTTTGGGGGCCCTGCGGGGTGGGGCGGCACGCACATCAAACTCATGCTCTTGCTCCAGCTGGGCGCTGCCAACCGCATAACTGTCGACGCGTTCCTGCGCTGGTGCCGTCCTAAGCCGATCCAATTGGGATCTCGCCCGCCTCGGCGTTGCCAAGTGTGAGCCTGTCGTAAAGTTCGTGCGCACCTGGGACTGCGCACGCCCTTGAGGTCATTATCCTGTCCCAGCGGAGAACTAGACGCTTAGAGTGGGTTGGGTACGTTGTGTCGCTTCGTACGTGGCCAGAGTCTACCAAATCTGCAGCTCTACCCCTCCATGGTTCTTCGGTGGTGTCGTGGTGTCATGCGTCAAGTGGGCATGGCCTGAGTCATAACCCAAACCGAAACCAGGTCTAAATCTATAACTGCCCGCAGGGGCACATGCACAGGAACAGACTTAGGCCAACCCTAAAACCAAGCCTGCAACAAACTCGAGATGAGCAGCTGCTCAAAACAATATCGGAAATCACGCAAACTGTCGATGGTGACTCTCAAGCCAACACTCAAAGCCAAACATATCACCCAGACCTATAGCTACAGAGTCGCATGCTCTAAAGCTAGAGCTAGAGCGACGGCGAAATCTGAAAACAGCGCCAAAGCTGAAGTCCGAATCGAAAACAACGCCAATGCCACCCTAACAGTTCAGCGCCGAAATAAAACCCAGCTCGAATGTAAAGCTAGAACTGCATGTAATGCTGAAGTTGAAGCCAGATAAGGACCAGCAGCTCAACCAGGCGAAATTAGGCGCCACACTCAGGACCACAACCAAACGCGACGTGCCAGCGTAAAGCCGAAGCTGTAAGTAGTGATAATGGCTTCGGGAAGCAAGATGTAAGACAAAACACGTGGCACGGACTAGCAAGTTGCGAGATCCGTCCTGAAGATCCTTGTTGACAATGCGACTGTCGAATCAGGTCTTGCCCCTCCCCCACACACACACAAGGTCTGCCATGCTGCAAGAGAGAGAGAGAGAGAGACAGAGAGAGAGAGAGAAGGGGAAGAAGGCTTACAGCTGGGAGAAATGCCAGAGTGGGTTTCGTTTCGCTCCCGAGAGCCAGCTGTCGAGCTGGGCATCGCCTCCTCCGACGGGCAGTAAGTCTGCCTCCATCGCACGCAGGCCAGAAACTCAGCTGCTGAGCCAAAGGTGCTTGCAAAACGTTGCGGCAACAAGTGCGATCGGTGAGGGCCGTCATGCTGTTGGGGACAGAGTTCAGTGTAGCTGGGTCGGGGTGTGATCTAGAACTTCGGGAACTGAATGCAACCTTGCCCTTCGCAAATGCAATGCGGGCTCTGGAGGGCCCACGGGTGGCAACTCCATGCTGGAGAACGCTGATATCTGGTAATGCACGTGGGGATGCCACTGATCGCTGTTTAACAAATCCTTGATCTGCCGAGAGTGAGGCTAACGGATGCGACATCTCGCGCCAGGCGCTCGCTGACAGGATTCTGGTTGACCCTTGCCAACAAGTTATAATGGAGCGGGCTGCAGGAAAACATGTTGAGGCCATTCTACGCGAAGTGGGTCCAAACATAATGTGGAAACTAAGGTGGTTGACGTTGAAACTGCCACCCTACGGCCAGAAGCCAATGTAATAATTTCTAGCACTCCTGTCACACTTGTTTACCGCGCCCGCTGCCAGCCTCAACACTGCGCAATCAGGCGGCCCTCTTGCCAACTGATGCCCCGTTCCTGCGCCACTGCTACCAGTAACTTCAACACTGATGCCAACAGCACGGATCATGCCGCAGGACGCGCGACATGATCGTGCCGACGCGCTAACCTGCTCGGGCGAAGACAGCTTGTTTACCAGCGAATGGGGGGCCCTGTGGCAGAGTGCAGGCGGACGACACGAAGCGACGACGAAACGACGAACGACAGACGAACGACGAAGACACCAGATCCGCTTTGGAGACTGGCCTCTGGTGCAATGTCGGCGTGGCGGTGCTCCCCGCGCACACGGAAACTCACACCAGCATTGCAGGAGCATCGACAAGGCGCGGCCTCTTCGACGAGTAATCCTACGAGATGGTCCAACATGGCCTCCAGAACCGCACGAGAGAGCCCAATGTGGCTCAAGATGGCTTCCAACATGCCTCCGAGAGGCGCGATGACCGCCCCAATGATGTGAAATGAAAACGATGTACACCGAACATGTGCTTGTGTACGCTAAGTCGTCCACGTGCTCGGATCGCACTGGCCGTAGTTTCGAGGCTGACACGCAACATGAGCACTGGATCCACCACGCAGTTGCTTCGACGTGATACCCATGTTCCTCGAGGGCACGGCTGGCGTTGAGGGGATGTTCTGTGTTCGACTTGACTGCTCGAAACTACTCTTGAAGAGGAGAGAGAATGACTTCAACGCAGTTGCACCTCCGCGAGGCAATCCCGGGAGAGCACTGCCGCATCCTGCATCCGAACATGGCAAAACAGCTCTCGGGGGGCCGCCCAACTGGGGCTTGAGGAGATGGGATCCGAGGATCGCGCCGCATCGCCGACGCATTGGCGACGCTGGGCGCGCAGGGCGGAGAGAACCGGGCTCCGGACCGCGCTGCAGCTCCGAGGCATCGGCGATGCGTCGCGGTCCTCCGAGCTGCGTGCTCATTCCACGTGGGCGGCCTGGAGCTCCGCGCCGACACGCCACCGGAGCGGCCCTGGGCCCGAGAAGCCCAGCACAATCTCAGAGCCCGCCGCGGGCGCCGACCTCTCTGCGAGGCGGGGGCTGCCTCGTCTTGCGAGGCTTCCACGGGGGAGTCGCAGATGACACGCGTTAGCGCTTCACCCGGCCAATCCTCTTGCCAGCCGCTGTACTGGCTGAGCCAGAGGCCAAGATGCGAGTAGATCCCTGCTGCCGGGCCTCTCTCAGGCGGGCCCCTATCTCGATCCTCCCATTCCTCTACGAGCGCGGCAGCGAGGGAATCCAGGGCTGCCAGCTTGTGGTCTCGGCACCGCGGATGCCTCGTATCGGTCACGTGCTGCATGACACGGTGTCTTTCGACAAGGCTCATGCTGCACGCTGGGCACACGCCGCTGTCGTCGACATCCATATCTGCCGCCACCCGATGTACATAAAGGGGCCCAAGGACACACAAATAAATACACACAAATAAAATTATTCCCCATATTATCCCATATTTTCTGGGTTTTTGTCTTCCCCCCCACTTCCCATATTTTCCTATATTTTCATGGGAATCGAGGATTAATTGTGTCTGTGTTTTTTTTTCCCTCCTGAGTACAGGAGTGTCTGTGCTCCAGGCGCGGTAGGTGCGCGCGGGCATAAGTTCTCGACGCCGGCGCAATTCGCAGAGGCAGCAGCGGGGAACACGGGGGCCCCAGGCCCCTGCGGGGCCCCAGGTGTAGCCAGAATCGGCGCGTACCTGCGAAACGCCGACCACGGCATTCGCAAGATGGTGGACATCGAGCGGTACGGTGGCCAGCGCCTGTATGGATGAGTCCCAGCATGAGGGGCAACGATGGGGGGGGGCTAGGGATAGGGGGGGGAACATCGACCTGTAGACGGCGATGTATCGCTGATAGATCGGCGATAGGCCTCCGATTGCGAATCCGTACCTTCCTGGGCAGGCTGGGGCTATCGGGCCCCTCTTGGCGATCAATGGGTGATTGGGGGTCGATGCATCCCCCCTATACCTATCCCCCCCCCTATCGGTGCCCCCGACAGCATCGGATCTCCTCTGCAACGAAACATCCAGAGCTCGGCTGCACGCAAGAGTGACCCTGGGTAGGAGTGACCTTTGGTGCGCGGTTTTTTGGGGGGCCTCGGGGGTACCAAATGCAAGCGCGCAAGTCGCTGCCATGGCGTCGCATTTGGCCACCTGGGGGCCCCTGCGGACCCGCACCAAGATCGCTCTGGCGAAAGGTTACTCCCTCTTGTGCAGCCTGGGCCCGGCGCCGCCGCTAGGCCTGCGGCGGGCCCCGGGCGGGGCCCCCGGCCCCCTCCCGAGGCAGACCGCGCCCCCAAGGCCCCGTCCGTCCCGACCAGCCCTCCCCCCCCCGGGACAACCTGCTCGCATTCCGAAGGAACCGCGACGGACGCGGTTTCCCACTTCCAGCCTCTGGAGGCACTCGCCAGGCCCCGGGACCGTCAAGAGGCGGCATGGGATGAGGAAATGGCCCCAGGGGCCCCACCCCTCCAACTCGAGACGCTGGTCGTGTCCTCCCTTGGCGTCGCGCTTCCTGTAATTGGCGCGACGCCGGAACGGGTCGGGGGCGGCGGGAGGGAGGAGGAGGAGGAGGAGGAGGAGGAGGAGGAGGAGGAGGAGGAGGAGGAGGAGGAGGAGGAGGAGGAGGAGGAGGAGGAGGAGGAGGAGAGGACCACCGAGGGGGAAATGGGCGAGCGCTCCGCCTGCCCTGCGACGCGAGCCGCTCCCGCGGCGGCTCAGCGGGAAGCTCCGTGCCCCAGGGGCGCGTCTCTCGCTCCCCCGCTCTGCCTGGAGGGCCCCGAGGCTCTGACGCCTCCCTTTTCTCGAACCGGGCGTTCTCGCCAGGTTCGGGCCCAGGGACCCTCACAGATCGATCCGGCTCGAAACGTGCCCGCGCAAAGATGGGGCCTGCAGGCTCTGGCTGCGATGTTTTACAGTGTTTCAACTTTGCGCGCCGTCGGATCTCAAGGCAAGTGGGTTTTCACTGTGCCGCTCTGCACGCCGCTCCCAAGATCCCCGTCCTTTTCTCCTCGCACGCGACAGCCGCTGTGGCACTGTGGAGACATTGCCGCCCTCGTCCCGAGATCCCGGCCCAGACATGCGACATCTCGAATGGTTCAATACGCGGTCATCGGAAGCCTGGGGACCCTTTTCGCAGGGCTGGTTTGGCATCACCCGAGTCGCCTTTTGGCGGTCCCAAGGCCCGGCGAGGGCCCCCAGAGGCTGGCAACTGTCAAAACCGCCTGTCGTGATTTGGTTCACGACGCGAGCATGTCTGGGGATACACAACCGCCGCGTCCACGCCGCGGCCATCCCAGCAGCCAGGAGGATGAGAGGGTGGGCGCAGCGACGGCGGCTTGCCCCGAACCCGCCAGCACATGCGCGACCTGAAGGGGATTCGCGTGGGCGGAAAGCCACGCGCTCCGACGTCTCCCGCCCACTTGTAGCCGTCTTGCGAGGGTTTGGGGGCCTCTTGGAGGCATCGTGGAGGCCATCTTGAGCCATCTCCGATTACGAAATGCCCTATTGGAGGTCATCTCTGAGACCATCTTGGACCGATCTTGGGCCATATTGGACGCCCTCACTGGTCGCGAACCCCCCTGCTGTTCAGATCCAGGAGGAGGGGGCAGGGGGAGTGGCAAACCCGTCCACGAAAGGGAAGAAGGGGAGAGGGGGAAGAAACGCGCTAGACCACCTCCGCCCAGCCCACAGGGCCTCTAACATGTTCTACCAGGCCCTTCTGCCCTGGTCGGAGGCCGTCAGAGGGCAGGAGTTTGCCCCCGCCCCCCGCCCCCCGGGCAAGACGCCAGAACGATTCGTAGTTTCGTACGCTCGGTGTGCGCTGCGGCCCCATGCATGCCACGCGCTTGGCAATGTCGACGATACGCCAGTTGCGAGGGAAGACGCAAGTTACTTTAGCTAGCCCAGCTAATTGCGCTACATTCCGTACGACCAACTAAGCCGATCTGAGCGGGAACGAGCCAAGGTAGGCTTAGCCTAAACAAAGGTCAACAACTAAGCAACAACCCCAAAACCGTAACTCCGTGGCCGTGTCTTCAACTGCCCCCCTCCAACGAACCAAGATCGCAACGAGAGATCTCCAACGTGCCCTCGCGAGCCGACCCGACGGCCCGCACGATAGCTCATGAAAGCCGAACTGCGCGCAGAGGCCCAAAGATACACCCGAGAAGCCCCATGGGGTCCCAACACATCACGAGACGCCCGAGGAGGCCCCCAGCGACGCCGTAAACTACCCCAAGTCACGTGCTTCTGCTCAAGTTGGCCAAGGACGGCTTCGGGGAGGACAAATGACTGCGAGCCAATTCACGAGAGCTCGGGGAACCATCGCACCCAGCTGTGCTGCCACTGTGGTGGGGTTTGCCATAAGCAGCTGTACAAGCTGATGCTACCATGTGGCAAAGCCGTGCCAGAGCTCGCCTGACTCAAG